GATGCAAAGGGGAAGAGCGGTAGTATGTGCTTGAAACGAAGGGGAAGATTGGCAGCGTGTGCTTACAACGAAGGGGAAGAGCCAGGAGATGCCAGAGCCTTCGACGGTGGGATCGATAGACGTGGGGCCGGCGAGAGAGGGAATCCAGAAGAAGCCCTCTGTGAGCACGCCCTGAATGGTGGGGTGGTGGGATGGGACAGGGAGCACGTGGTCGCGGAGGGGATGAAGTGGTGGGGAGCGAGAGATGTGTGCTGGTGAGGGGGCCCGCGAGAGAGGGAATCCAGAAGAAGCCCTCTGTGAGCACGCCCTGAATGGTGGGGTGGTGGGATGGGACAGGGAGCACGTGGTCGCGGAGGGGATGAAGTGGTGGGGAGCGAGAGATGTGTGCTGGTGAGGGGGCCCGCGAGAGAGGGGATCTAGAAGAAGCCCTCTGTGAGCACGCCCTGTTGATGGGCAGGTGATGGTGGTGTGGTGGTGGTGCAAGGGAATTAGGTTGACACACAAGTGAGGACCAAGGTGACAGCGGGGAGGAGGCAGATGAAGATCCTTATAAAATAGATGACAGCGCGAACGGAAGCGACAGGCATGAGGGAGGGAGGGCTCTTTTGGAGAAAGATGTAAAAGAAAGAGGGGGAGCGGGAGGGGGTGGAGGGGTGGGAGGGGTGGGAAGGGGGAGAGAGAAGGGGGGAGTTGGGGAAATGGGAAAAACAAGTTGCTCTTTACTTACCTCCTTAGCGACGTTACTGAGAGCCTGGTAGAGGCCGATGAAAATTGGGAGAGTAGCGAGCGTGGGGAGACAACCTGTGATGTGGTTGACGATGCGGATGGGGATGGGCATGGTGATGGGGATGCGGATAGGGATGGGGGTGCGGATGGGGATGTGGATGGGGGTGCGGATGGGGATGTGGATGGGGGTGCGGATGGGGATGTGGATGGGGGTGCGGATGGAGATGTGGATGGGGGTGCGGATGGAGATGTGGATGGGGGTGCGGATAGAGATGTGGATGGGGGTGCGGATGGAGATGTGGATGGGGGTGCGGATAGAGATGTGGATGGGGGTGCGGATGGAGATGGGGATAAGAACACGGAAGGGATGAGCGATGTTGATGTGATATCTGCGCTACTTTCTGGTGCAACTTGTGTCGTTCGATTCAATTCATGTTGTGTCCTGGCTCCACGAGTTCAGAATCCAGCGGAAGGACAAGAGTCAAACCAGTCCCTGTGTTTGTTTCACGTTGTTCAACTTTTCAAGGGATCAATCCGAACTCAACTCCTGGCCTGCTACAAGATCGTATTGCCTCATCTGGTACAACGCATCCCCACACCTGCGAGGGGGGTCACTCCCGCGCGTGGTTACACCTTGGCGGTCTCCATCTGAACGTGCTCCTGCTCGCACCAGCCTGTGGAACCTTTACTGTGCCCATATAACCTCCTGGCCTCGTCAGGTCAAGCAGCAAATCGTCTCACCTGCGAGGGGGTTGACACCCGCGCGTTGGTACACTTTCGCCGTCTCCATCTGGATGCGCTCCTGGTCGCCCGCGTACTGCGCCTGGATGGCCTTCAGCTGCGGCGCCAGGCTCTGCACTCGCTACTCTTCGCAGAATTGCGAGTCGCTGCTGGCAGGATCATTAGACGACTTTCCAGGGTGCTACATCCTTTTCCCCATCCTGCCCGTGTGCTCCCTACCTGCCCGATTCCAATCTCCTTGCTTCAATTTTGGTAGCCCGTGACAAAAACTATCCTCACCTGCGAGGGGGTTGACACCCGCGCGTTGGTACACTTTCGCCGTCTCCATCTGGATGCGCTCCTGGTCGCCCGCGTACTGCGCCTGGATGGCCTTCAGCTGCGGCGCCAGGCTCTGCATCGCGAGCGTCGACTCCACCTGCTTCTTCGTCAGCGGAAACGTCACCACCTTCACGATGATGGTGAGCAGAATGATGGAGAAACCGTACGCGTACGGCACCTTCAGAGAGACCAAACCCTCCTCTAAGACCTGCCCGGGGTGTGAGATGGGAGGGGGAAAGGGGGGGAATGGGTACGGCGGAGCATGATGGCAATTATCGTCAGCGGAAACGTCACCATCTTCACCATGATGGTGAGAAGAATGATTGAGAAGCCGTACGCGTAGGGCACCTTCAGAGAGACTAGGCCCTCCTCTAAGATCTGCCTGGGGTGCGAGATGGGAGGAGGGGAAGGAGAGGGGGGTGGAGGGGGGTTGTGAGCATGATGAAAATTATCGTCAGCGGGAACGTCGCCAACAGGACGATGATTGAGAAGCCGTACGCGTGCGGCACTTTAAGAGAGACCAGGCCCTCCTCTAAGACCTGCCAGGGGTGCGTGTGATGAGAGAACGAACCAGGGTCGGGGGGTGGAGAGAAGGAAGGTCGAGCAGCGCGACATCTCCATCAGACACACCAGCCACTCCTCTAAGACCTTGATAACAATGTCGAAGCCATACTTTAAGAATGCTTCACAAGTTTACGCTTGTAAGACAACTTGACATTGTTGTTAAGCGGATGATGGAGCTATATGGACGGCATTTTGAGAGAGACTAAACCTCCTCAACGACCGCAAGGTACTGAAGCTCGGAGAGCCGGAAGATTGAAGACTGAGGACGAACCGCCTGCCTTGCAGTTCAAAATCCTCATGAATAATACCCCATTTAGTTTATTTACGTTGTGAAAACTGTGAAATGACAGTGTCTACTGTGTGGATATGCCACTGTCGTACCTTGAGAAATGCTTCCAGGAGATCAGCAAGGCCTGAGAACCAGCCACGATCCTGCACCACCTCAGCAGCAGCTGGTGCCACGTCAGCAGCAGCGTCCGCAACCGCGAATAGAAGATTATGTGCGGCTATAGATCCTGCGGAAACCACGGCATCAATACTGGAAGGGTCCAGGACCGCTCTAGTGACAATGCTTCTGGATCGCTTCTGTGACTGTAACGGGCGTAATTGCCGTAAGGGAAGCCCAAGACCATGGCAGCCGGTTTGCAGTCTAAGCCCAGACGCTGACGTGGCTGACGTGGCCCTAGGTACTGTCGAAATTGCCATCGGTGCAGGATGCAGCAGGACCCGATCCATGGCGCCGAAAACCGACGAGGGACGAAAACTGCTGCCGACGTCGAGTCGATCGGACAAAGGGATCGAGAATAAGTGACCTAATGCTGTGCTGCAGATGTATCACCAGGAGCACTTGAGCTACCGTGCTCAAATATTTTCACCCTGAAATGGAAGGCCAGTGAATCAGGTCCCAAACAGGTCATAGGGCAGGACTCCCCTTCCCCACCACCATCCCACCACAGCCCAGCAGGAATCTGAGGCATCTGGTAACTTCTAGGGGACGGGAGCTGGCTGGAGGTGGCATGGCATTCACCCCTGGCTTTTGACGTAAGCGTCTACTGGCTGCATGACACATAGGTATGCCAGATAAGGGTTTTGAAAGCGTGTGACACGTGGCCGTACGGCTTATACGCCGCTCCTTTATTATCACATTCAGAGATACATCCTCGACATGTGTGTGACAATGTACTTCGCTTCCTTGTCTTTCGCAGGCAAGCAGCACATCCGTGGCTGCAGTTTCTCCATCACAAATTGTGGCAATTTACGATGAAGCCACGTGCACGTCCAGCTCCAGCGCTGGTTGGAAGGCTTGATGCCCTATTTGTGGGAGAGAGATCTCTTATTGGCTAAAACAAATCAGTGAACCTCGCCACGAGCTTCGGAGCTTTTCGTGTGCTGCCAGCTGAAGCACTTTTGAGTGACTTGTGTCTGAAGAAAGCGAAGCCGTTGACCAATCAATGATATCCACGACTTCGCTCAGAAGTTCGTTAACCGCTAGCCGGCAGTTTCGCATTCTAGGATGCCCGTTTTCGGTGTACGACGTTTCTGGGGTCGTCCAGATTCATCCAAACGGCGCATCTGAATAGAAGCATTTCCCGTCGCAAGAAACGTCGTCGCAGCCGCGACAACTCACCAAGGTTGCCCTATAAATTTATGATTCCCAATGAGTTCACGAGAAGTTACCAGCTCTTGAAAGCACATCAAAATATCGTCTTCCTTCGCTGCACTTGTACACAAGCCAGTTGCTGCTCAGCAGAACAAAATCCGGTGAGCGTCTGTCATAATCAATTTCCTTCGTTGTCGTTCTTCTTCCTCCTCCTCGACGTTAGCACGGTTCCCTTCCGCCGAGGGACGTTTCGTGTTACGACTCCCAAGTCTCCTCTCTTGAGGGAGCTATTCGTGCTTACCGCAGACAAGGTACTTGCATTTAGTTCTGAAATTCGGGTTTGGATTGTGAGATTGTCTGCAACTATTTTCCATTTTTACCCCCTTCGGCTGTTTTCTGCTCTCAGATTTCAGACACTTCTTGCGTGCTTACCCAGCACAAAGTCGGAATGGCTGGAGCTATCGCTCAGTCGTCGCTCATCTCCGCGAGCGTGGTCCTCCATGGCGGTAACAAGTCTTCGCGACGGTCACGGCGCTCGTCGTCAACCGTCGCCAGCGTCGCAGCTCCTCGCTCGCTTCAATCCTTTTCGGGACTGAGGCGTCCCGGCCAAGCTGACGTGGCACTCAGGGGCTCTCCGTCGTTGGCAGCGATAGTCGCGAAGCAGACTAAGGCCGGCTCGTCCAGCGCCGCCAAACGCGGTGTCGCTGTCGCCATGTTCGAGCGCTTCACGGAGAAGGTACTTAGGCCGTTCACCTTAGTCTTCAATCATGAGTCACTTGCGAGTTCGTCACGGCACGTGAGGATTAAGTTGATTGAGTTGTTTCTTAGAGGGCTTCAGAAAGTAGGTGGCATGGGCGCACCTTGCTACACGCGGCGTGGCTTGACTACTCCGTCTATTTTGTTTTCGTAGATCATTGGAACTTCGACCTGTGCTCCCGGCTGCTGCTGACTATTCAATTTGCCGTCCATCAGCCACTAAGCTACGCGCGTCGAAACGCTCTGACTTCCCCATCCCACTACTCCTCGCCCATCGCAGGCGATCAAGGTGATTATGCTCGCGCAGGAGGAGGCGCGGCGCCTGGGACACAATTTCGTGGGCACGGAGCAGATTCTCCTGGGGCTCATCGGCGAGGGCACGGGCATCGCCGCCAAGGTGCTCAAGTCGCTGGGCGTCAATCTCAAGGAGGCGCGCGTCGAGGTCGAGAAGATTATTGGTCGCGGCTCGGGCTTCGTGGCCGTTGAGATCCCGTTCACGCCGCGCGCGAAGCGCGTGCTGGAGCTGTCGCTGGAGGAGGCGCGCCAACTCGGGCATAACTACATCGGCACGGAGCATCTGCTGCTGGGCCTGCTCCGCGAGGGCGAGGGCGTGTCTGCGCGCGTGCTCGAGAATCTCGGCGCCGACCCCGGGAACATCCGCTCGCAGGTAAACAGGAGAATGTCTTTTTTTAGTCGATTCAAAACACGTCTGTTTTGAGTCGACTCAAAACGCGCGTGCTAGAAAATCTGCCGGGAACATCCGTGGCGCCGACCCTGGGAACATCCGCTCGCAGGTACATAGGGGAGTGTCCGTTTCTTGTGTGCGTTTGATTGAATATTGCTGGAAAATCTGCAGTCGCGCTTCACGGGTGATCCGCATGGTATTTTATTTGAAAGATTTGCTGCACTGAAATCGATTTTTGTGATATTAACGAGGTGTAATATCTCTTGTGGCGGGTGATCCGCATGGTCACCACTTCCTGCACTGAAATTGGTTGTTGTGATATTAACGAAGTCTGGTTCTTCTGGTGGCAGGTGATCCGCATGGTGGGTGAGAGCGCGGAGGCGGTGGGCGCGGGCGTGGGCGGCGGCAGCAGCGGCAATTCCAAGATGCCCACTCTCGAGGAGTACGGCACCAACCTCACCAAGCTCGCTGAGGAGGTGAGTGAATCCGGCTGGGCTTAGCGCTTAGGCTCTCCTCCCCTTCTCCACCCTCCACCACCGCCCGTCCCTCCTCGCGGGGCAAGCTAGACCCAGTGGTGGGGCGTATAGCGCAGATCGAGCGGGTGACGCAGATCCTGGGTTGCCGCACAAAGAACAACCCCTGCCTCATCGGCGAGCCCACAGCCCAATGCGTCTTCTCTTCTCTCTCCCTTCCCGTTCTGCTCTTCCCTCTCTCCGTCTCTCCCCTTCCTCCCTGCAGGGCAAGCTAGACCCAGTGGTGGGGCGTATAGCGCAGATCGAGCGGGTGACCCAGATCCTGGGTCGGCGCACCAAGAACAACCCCTGCCTCATCGGCGAGCCTGGTGTGGGCAAGACCGCCATTGCTGAGGGCCTTGCACAGAGGATTGCTTCTGGAGACGTGCCTGAGACGCTGGAGGGGAAGAAGGTGAGAGTGTGGTGGGTAGCAGGATGTGTGTTCCGTAACCAGGGTGAAATGTCTCGGGGGAATGGCAATGTTGATATGACATGTTCTGACTGTAGGGGCGTGGTGTGGTGGTTTCTGAAGAGGAAATTTGTTTTTACTATCGTATTCCCCTTTCCCCCCGTTTTCCCACAGGTCGTTACCCTAGACATGGGGCTGCTTGTAGCGGGTACCAAATACAGAGGAGAGTTTGAGGAGAGGCTGAAGAAGCTGATGGACGAGATCAAGCAGGCGGGCGACATCATCCTCTTCATCGACGAGGTGCACACGCTCATCGGCGCCCACGCTCATCCTTCCCTCTCCCGCTCCCCTCCTCTCCGCCCGCCCTGCCATCCGCCCCCCTCCCCTGGTCCCACAGGTTGTCACCTTAGACATGGGTCTCCTGGTGGCAGGGACCAAGTATCGGGGTGAATTCGAGGAGCGACTCAAGAAGCTGATGGACGAGATCAAGCAGGCGGACGACATCATCCTCTTCATTGACGAAGTGCACACGCTCATCGGCGCGGGCGCGGCCGAGGGCGCGATCGACGCGGCCAACATCTTAAAGCCCGCCATGGCGCGCGGGGAGCTGCAGTGCATCGGCGCGACCACGATCGACGAGTACAGGAAGCACATAGAGAAGGACCCGGCGCTCGAGAGGCGGTTCCAGCCGGTGCAGGTGCCGGAGCCATCGGTTGATGAGACGATTCTCATTCTCAAGGGGCTGAGGGAGTGATATGAGATTCACCACAAGCTCAAGTACACGGATGAGGCTCTTGCTGCTGCCGCCCAGCTGTCCTACCAGTACATCAGGTATGGCCTTGGGCTTCCTCCTTCCAGGGGTGTAGTGCAGCAGGCAGGTCACAGGTATGTGGGGTGGGGTTGTGCAGACCACGACGATCGACGAGTACAGGAAGCACATTGAGAAGGACCCGGCGCTCGAGAGGCGGTTCCAGCCGGTGCAGGTGCCGGAGCCATCGGTTGATGAGACGATTCTCATTCTCAAGGGGCTGAGGAAGCGATATGAGATTCACCACAAGCTCAAGTACACGGATGAGGCTCTTGCTGCTGTCGCCCAGCTGTCCTACCAGTACATCAGGTATGGCCTTGGGCTTCCTCCTTCCAGGGGTGTAGTGCAGCAGGCAGGTCACAGGTATGTGGGGTGGGGTTGTGCAGACCACGACGATCGACGAGTACAGGAAGCACATTGAGAAGGACCCGGCGCTCGAGAGGCGGTTCCAGCCGGTGCAGGTGCCGGAGCCATCGGTTGATGAGACGATTCTCATTCTCAAGGGGCTGAGGGAGCGATATGAGATTCACCACAAGCTCAAGTACACGGATGAGGCTCTTGCTGCTGCCGCCCAGCTGTCCTACCAGTACATCAGGTGTGCTGGGTTCGTCTTGAATAGGCCAACGAGCTGCACAAGCAATAGCTTTGTATTCATCTCCCATCTTCTCCACTAACCCTCCACTTCCCTCCTCCCCCGTCCCCTCCCCTTTCCCTCTCCCCCCAAAACAGTGACCGCTTCCTGCCAGACAAGGCAATCGACCTGATCGACGAGGCAGGGTCCCGCGTGCGGCTGCAGCACGCGCAGCTGCCAGAGGAGGCCAAGGAGCTGGACAAGCAGCTGCGGCAGATCACCAAGGAGAAGAACGAGGCCGTGCGCAACCAGGACTTTGAAAAGGCCGGCGATTTGCGCGACCAGGAGATGGACCTGAAGACGCAGATCAACGCCATCATGGAGAAGAGCAAGGAGACGAACAAGGCGGAGATCGAAGCTTCCGGCGGCGCGATCGGCCCAACAGTCACCGAAGCGGATATTCATAACATTGTGTCCGCGTGGACGGGGATTCCGGTGGAGAAGGTGTCGAGCGATGAGAGCAATAGGTTGCTGCAGATGGAGGGGACGCTGCACAAGCGCGTGATTGGCCAGGACGAGGCGGTGAAGGCGATTTCCCGCGCGATCCGGCGCGCCCGCGTCGGGCTGAAGAATCCCAACCGTCCGATTGCGAGCTTCATCTTTTCCGGGCCGACGGGAGTGGGGAAATCGGAGCTGGCAAAGTCCCTCGCGGCGTATTATTTCGGGTCAGAGGAGGCGATGGTTCGGCTTGATATGTCTGAGTTCATGGAGAGGCACACTGTGTCGAAGCTGATTGGGTCGCCGCCCGGTTACGTGGGGTACAGTGAGGGCGGGCAGCTGACTGAGGCGGTGCGAAGGCGGCCGTACACTGTGGTGCTGTTTGACGAAATTGAGAAGGCTCATCCTGATGTGTTTAACATGATGCTGCAGGTATGGTTGGGGCTTGAGGGGTGGACGGAGAAGGATAGTGGGGGTAGAGAGAGATGGAGAGTGGTGGTGAACAGGTAGGTGGCGGCCGTACATGGTTGTGCTGTTCGATAAGATTGAGAAGGCTCATCCGGACGTGTTCAACATGATGCTCCAGGTACTCTCAAGGACGTGTTTCAAGGACTCATGCTCCGAGTATCTCCTCCCTTTCACTCCCAATCCAATCCCTGGAGGCCAGATTCTGGAGGACGTTTGAGAATTCTCAAAAGTCACTCCAATGTATCTCCTCCCTTTCACTTTCAATCCTTGGATGCCAGATTCTGGAGGACGGGCGTCTGACGGACAGCAAGGGCCGCACCGTCGATTTCAAGAACACCCTCCTCATCATGACGTCGAATGTTGGTTCATCCGTGATCGAGAAGGGTGGTGGAGGCATCGGCTTCCAGCTGGACTACGGCGAGAAGGATACGAGCTACAACAGAATCAAGTCGCTCGTGAATGAGGAGCTGAAGCAATACTTCAGGCCGGAGTTCCTGAACCGGCTGGACGAGATCATTGTGTTCCGACAGCTGACGAAGCAGGAGGTGAAGGAGATCAGCGACATCATGCTCAAAGAGGTGTTTGACCGCCTCAAGAAGAAGGACATTGATCTTCAGGTGAGCGATTGGGGGGTAGTGTGCAGAGCGCGTGTATGGGTGTAGGGAGAGGAGTTGTGTAAGTGGGTGTAATGGTATCATGCTTAAAGAGGTGTTTGACCGGCTCAAGTAGAGAGGACAAAGATCTTCAGGTGTGTGCAAGGGGAAGCGTATGCGGGCTGGCTGGGTGGATGGGTGGGTTGGTGGATGGATGTGGGGAAGGAATGGGACAGGGTCATGTGGTACATGGGAGGTGAAGGAGATCAGCGATATCATCATGCTCAAAGAGGTGTTTGACCGCCTCAAGAAGAAAGGACATTGATCTGCAGGTGCGTGCAAGGGAAGCAGGGGTGAGAATGCTCTTGTGCATGGGAAGTTGTTTGACCGCTGCGGCAAGCCATAATGCGGCTCTTATCTGACAGCATGGCAGAGTGAATGCTGTCAGGGGCAGTGCTATGTTGCGTGCCTTACCCACTTAATGCTCTACTTCCCCTCATTTCCCCCTCCTAGCTAATCCGTCTCTTTTTTCTCCCCCTTGACCCTGCTCCCAACCACCTCAGGTGACCGAGCGGTTCAGAGACAGGGTGGTGGACGAGGGCTACAGCCCTTCATACGGCGCCCGGCCGCTGCGCCGAGCTATCATGAGGCTTCTTGAAGACAGCATGGCAGAGCGAATGCTCTCAGGGGAGATCAAGGAGGGCGACAGTGCTATCATTGATGTGGATGCGGACGGGAATGTGACTGTTCTGAACGGCAACACTGGCACAGCCACGTCCACCGCCATTGAGGCTCCTGCTGGGATCTCCTAGAGGGGAAAGCAGGGTGGATGGGTGTGCGGCTGGCATTGCTTGAGGTTGGTTGGTGTATAGAGCGACTGCTGTGGTTTCCGCTGTGCACGCATCCAGTATATAGGGCGAGCATGGCTTGCGGGTGTCATTGTGGACGGGAGCCTCCCTCTAATGTCTGAGCGGTTAGATAAGTTGGCTGTTTCCTTTTTTCTGCTGTATGACGGTATGTCAATGTTAAAACGTTATACACTAATGCTGTATCTGCAGGGTAATTTTCATCACAATGTTGGTGATTTGATCAGATAACTAAATCTAGAACCATTGCGATGTAGGACATGCAATTGTTAGGCCCGACGGCCTAAGTCCGCTAAAGAATTAGCGGGGTCGACTCAGTCGAGGATGAAACGCGGCGGAAGACTTTGGCGAAAGAACTATTGGCGAAATAGGCGAAGAAGTTACTGAGTAATTAAAGAAGAGTTGAATGAGAATTGGTTGATAATGCCAAGTACAAGCAAGGTTTAAGTAGCATGCAAGAAACAAGGTTGGAAAGTAGATTGTGGGACTAGGAATTGGAAGGCAAGAGAACTAGAGTGCCACGTGGCACAAGGAAATCTAGGAAATCTTGGATGAGTTGGATGAAGATAGGGTTGAGATAAGGTTGGGGGTCTGTTTAGGGTAAACTACCCTTGAACAGGAAAGTACCCCGTAACACTACCCCCCTCCCAAGGAGGCGACGTCCGCGGCGCCTGCAGACTGAAGGTACGCTTGGAGGCAAGCATTGTCGGGAGACAGCGAGGACGAAGGAACCCAGCTGTCGTCTGCTGCGTCGTAACCACGCCAACGAACCAAGAAGTCGATGAAAGAGACACCCCCCTGGAGACGGCGACGGTGCCTGAGGATGCGCTGGATCTGATAGTCGGGCTCGTCGGTGTCAACAGCTACCGGCAGTGGAGTGCGGTCACGGCCCGAGAAGGTGGCATTGGGATCGGTGTAAGGACGAAGAAGCGACACGTGGAATGACGGGTGCATGCGGAAATGAGCGGGAAGGCGAAGGCGGTATGCGACTGGACCAAGTGCGCGCTCAATGACAAATGGACCAATGAAACGTGGACGAAGCTTGCTGTCCTGTGGCAGTCGGAGGTTGCGGCTATCCAAGAGAACACGGTCGCCGACTGCGAACGACACCTCACGACGACTGCGGTTGGTGGTGCGTGCCATGCGTGCATTTGCGAGCTCAAGGTGCTTCCTCACATGATCATGGATGAATGTGAGATGCTGGTGGAAGTTGTCCGCACGAGGGACTGTGGGTGTGAGATCGACACGAGTGGGGACGTTGGGGTGCTGACCGTACAGTGCGAAAAACGGTGACATGCCTGTGGACGAGTGGTGCGTGTTGTAGGCGAACTCGGCCATGCTCAGCTTCTTGTCCCATGCGGCTGCGTCGTGCATCGTGATGTTGCGAAGAATCTGCTCCAAGGTCTGGTTCACACGCTCGGTCTGTCCGTCTGTCTCTGGATGGTACGCAGACGACATGGCTAAGCGAGTCCCGAACAGTGCGAAAAGCTGCTTCCAGAACTTAGAAGTGAAACGAGGGTCGCGGTCTGAGATGATGGAATCTGGAACCCCGTGCATTCGGACTACGTTATCTACGAACAGCGTCGCGGCTTCCTCTGCTGTGACCTTGCCGTGCGTGGGGATGAAGTGCGCTGCTCGAGAAAACTTATCCACTACCACGAAGATGGCGTCGTGACCCCTAACTGTGCGCGGTAAAGCCATGATGAAGTCCATCGTAGCTACCTGCCAAGGGCAGTCGGGTGGTGGAATTGGCTGCAAAAGTCCTGCCTTGCGCTGGCGAGAGGACTTCGTACGCTGACACGTGTCGCACGAGCGAATGTAATCCTCTACGTCTGCTGCAAGTCCTGGCCAGTAGTACGTGCGACTAAGCGTCTTAGCCGTCTTATCTGCTCCGAAGTGCCCTGCACTAACTACGTCGTGCGCCTCTGAGAGAAGGAGCTGTCGAAGAGGGCGGTAGGCAGGAACCCAAATCCGTGTGGTACCCTTCCGTATGTAGACACTACCCTGCACCTCTGCTCCTGCGGGCGGCTGCTGTGTGAAGTCGGGATCTACTGTGTAACCGTGCTCGAAGAGTGCTGTGAGAAGTGGATGGCCGGCAGTGACTGTGAGGCTGGCGAGCTGGCAACTAGGGCGAGAAAGCGGATCTGCTGGGTTGCGAACGCCTGGCTTGTACTCTATCCTGTAGTGGAAACTCCCCTCCATGAACTCCATCCATCTAGCCTGGCGACGACTCAGCTGCGGCTGTGACTTGAGGAAACGAAGCGAGCAATGGTCCGTGCGTATAACACTATCTGCCCCCACACCTTATACGCATGGATGATCGCGAGCGCCTCCTTGTCGTGTATGGGATAGTTCAACTCCGCTCCCCTAAGCTTACGCGACTCGTACGCGATCGGCTGCAACCCGCGTCCCTGGTCCTGAAGAAGCACTGCTCCTATTGCCCGATCTGATGCGTCGGTCACTACAACGTATGGGCGAGTGGGATCAGGGTACGACAGTGTCGGTGAAGACGTGAGCGACTGCTTTATCTGCTCGAACGCCTGCTGCTGCGCTGGACCCCAAAGAAACTCTACGCCCTTCCGAAGTAGGTCGGTGAGTGGACTAGCAATGGAAGCGTAACCCTGAACGAAACGACGGTAGTAATTCGCGAAACCGAGGAAGCTCTGTAACTCGGAATGGCTGGAGCTATCGCTCAGTCGTCGCTCATCTCCGCGAGCGTGGTCCTCCATGGCGGTAACAAGTCTTCGCGACGGTCACGGCGCTCGTCGTCAACCGTCGCCAGCGTCGCAGCTCCTCGCTCGCTTCAATCCTTTTCGGGACTGAGGCGTCCCGGCCAAGCTGACGTGGCACTCAGGGGCTCTCCGTCGTTGGCAGCGATAGTCGCGAAGCAGACTAAGGCCGGCTCGTCCAGCGCCGCCAAACGCGGTGTCGCTGTCGCCATGTTCGAGCGCTTCACGGAGAAGGTACTTAGGCCGTTCACCTTAGTCTTCAATCATGAGTCACTTGCGAGTTCGTCACGGCACGTGAGGATTAAGTTGATTGAGTTGTTTCTTAGAGGGCTTCAGAAAGTAGGTGGCATGGGCGCACCTTGCTACACGCGGCGTGGCTTGACTACTCCGTCTATTTTGTTTTCGTAGATCATTGGAACTTCGACCTGTGCTCCCGGCTGCTGCTGACTATTCAATTTGCCGTCCATCAGCCACTAAGCTACGCGCGTCGAAACGCTCTGACTTCCCCATCCCACTACTCCTCGCCCATCGCAGGCGATCAAGGTGATTATGCTCGCGCAGGAGGAGGCGCGGCGCCTGGGACACAATTTCGTGGGCACGGAGCAGATTCTCCTGGGGCTCATCGGCGAGGGCACGGGCATCGCCGCCAAGGTGCTCAAGTCGCTGGGCGTCAATCTCAAGGAGGCGCGCGTCGAGGTCGAGAAGATTATTGGTCGCGGCTCGGGCTTCGTGGCCGTTGAGATCCCGTTCACGCCGCGCGCGAAGCGCGTGCTGGAGCTGTCGCTGGAGGAGGCGCGCCAACTCGGGCATAACTACATCGGCACGGAGCATCTGCTGCTGGGCCTGCTCCGCGAGGGCGAGGGCGTGTCTGCGCGCGTGCTCGAGAATCTCGGCGCCGACCCCGGGAACATCCGCTCGCAGGTAAACAGGAGAATGTCTTTTTTTAGTCGATTCAAAACACGTCTGTTTTGAGTCGACTCAAAACGCGCGTGCTAGAAAATCTGCCGGGAACATCCGTGGCGCCGACCCTGGGAACATCCGCTCGCAGGTACATAGGGGAGTGTCCGTTTCTTGTGTGCGTTTGATTGAATATTGCTGGAAAATCTGCAGTCGCGCTTCACGGGTGATCCGCATGGTATTTTATTTGAAAGATTTGCTGCACTGAAATCGATTTTTGTGATATTAACGAGGTGTAATATCTCTTGTGGCGGGTGATCCGCATGGTCACCACTTCCTGCACTGAAATTGGTTGTTGTGATATTAACGAAGTCTGGTTCTTCTGGTGGCAGGTGATCCGCATGGTGGGTGAGAGCGCGGAGGCGGTGGGCGCGGGCGTGGGCGGCGGCAGCAGCGGCAATTCCAAGATGCCCACTCTCGAGGAGTATGGCACCAACCTCACCAAGCTCGCTGAGGAGGTGAGTGAATCCGGCTGGGCTTAGCGCTTAGGCTCTCCTCCCCTTCTCCACCCTCCACCACCGCCCGTCCCTCCTCGCGGGGCAAGCTAGACCCAGTGGTGGGGCGTATAGCGCAGATCGAGCGGGTGACGCAGATCCTGGGTTGCCGCACAAAGAACAACCCCTGCCTCATCGGCGAGCCCACAGCCCAATGCGTCTTCTCTTCTCTCTCCCTTCCCGTTCTGCTCTTCCCTCTCTCCGTCTCTCCCCTTCCTCCCTGCAGGGCAAGCTAGACCCAGTGGTGGGGCGTATAGCGCAGATCGAGCGGGTGACCCAGATCCTGGGTCGGCGCACCAAGAACAACCCCTGCCTCATCGGCGAGCCTGGTGTGGGCAAGACCGCCATTGCTGAGGGCCTTGCACAGAGGATTGCTTCTGGAGACGTGCCTGAGACGCTGGAGGGGAAGAAGGTGAGAGTGTGGTGGGTAGCAGGATGTGTGTTCCGTAACCAGGGTGAAATGTCTCGGGGGAATGGCAATGTTGATATGACATGTTCTGACTGTAGGGGCGTGGTGTGGTGGTTTCTGAAGAGGAAATTTGTTTTTACTATCGTATTCCCCTTTCCCCCCGTTTTCCCACAGGTCGTTACCCTAGACATGGGGCTGCTTGTAGCGGGTACCAAATACAGAGGAGAGTTTGAGGAGAGGCTGAAGAAGCTGATGGACGAGATCAAGCAGGCGGGCGACATCATCCTCTTCATCGACGAGGTGCACACGCTCATCGGCGCCCACGCTCATCCTTCCCTCTCCCGCTCCCCTCCTCTCCGCCCGCCCTGCCATCCGCCCCCCTCCCCTGGTCCCACAGGTTGTCACCTTAGACATGGGTCTCCTGGTGGCAGGGACCAAGTATCGGGGTGAATTCGAGGAGCGACTCAAGAAGCTGATGGACGAGATCAAGCAGGCGGACGACATCATCCTCTTCATTGACGAAGTGCACACGCTCATCGGCGCGGGCGCGGCCGAGGGCGCGATCGACGCGGCCAACATCTTAAAGCCCGCCATGGCGCGCGGGGAGCTGCAGTGCATCGGCGCGACCACGATCGACGAGTACAGGAAGCACATAGAGAAGGACCCGGCGCTCGAGAGGCGGTTCCAGGCGGTGCAGGTGCCGGAGCCATCGGTTGATGAGACGATTCTCATTCTCAAGGGGCTGAGGGAGCGATATGAGATTCACCACAAGCTCAAGTATACGGATGAGGCTCTTGCTGCTGCCGCCCAGCTGTCCTACCAGTACATCAGGTATGGCCTTGGGCTTCCTCCTTCCAGGGGTGTAGTGCAGCAGGCAGGTCACAGGTATGTGGGGTGGGGTTGTGCAGACCACGACGATCGACGAGTACAGGAAGCACATTGAGAAGGACCCGGCGCTCGAGAGGCGGTTCCAGCCGGTGCAGGTGCCGGAGCCATCGGTTGATGAGACGATTCTCATTCTCAAGGGGCTGAGGAAGCGATATGAGATTCACCACAAGCTCAAGTACACGGATGAGGCTCTTGCTGCTGCCGCCCAGCTGTCCTACCAGTACATCAGGTATGGCCTTGGGCTTCCTCCTTCCAGGGGTGTAGTGCAGCAGGCAGGTCACAGGTATGTGGGGTGGGGTTGTGCAGACCACGACGATCGACGAGTACAGGAAGCACATTGAGAAGGACCCGGCGCTCGAGAGGCGGTTCCAGCCGGTGCAGGTGCCGGAGCCATCGGTTGATGAGACGATTCTCATTCTCAAGGGGCTGAGGGAGCGATATGAGATTCACCACAAGCTCAAGTACACGGATGAGGCTCTTGCTGCTGCCGCCCAGCTGTCCTACCAGTACATCAGGTGTGCTGGGTTCGTCTTGAATAGGCCAACGAGCTGCACAAGCAATAGCTTTGTATTCATCTCCCATCTTCTCCACTAACCCTCCACTTCCCTCCTCCCCCGTCCCCTCCCCTTTCCCTCTCCCCCCAAAACAGTGACCGCTTCCTGCCAGACAAGGCAATCGACCTGATCGACGAGGCAGGGTCCCGCGTGCGGCTGCAGCACGCGCAGCTGCCAGAGGAGGCCAAGGAGCTGGACAAGCAGCTGCGGCAGATCACCAAGGAGAAGAACGAGGCCGTGCGCAACCAGGACTTTGAAAAGGCCGGCGATTTGCGCGACCAGGAGATGGACCTGAAGACGCAGATCAACGCCATCATGGAGAAGAGCAAGGAGACGAACAAGGCGGAGATCGAAGCTTCCGGCGGCGCGATCGGCCCAACAGTCACCGAAGCGGATATTCATAACATTGTGTCCGCGTGGACGGGGATTCCGGTGGAGAAGGTGTCGAGCGATGAGAGCAATAGGTTGCTGCAGATGGAGGGGACGCTGCACAAGCGCGTGATTGGCCAGGACGAGGCGGTGAAGGCGATTTCCCGCGCGATCCGGCGCGCCCGCGTCGGGCTGAAGAATCCCAACCGTCCGATTGCGAGCTTCATCTTTTCCGGGCCGACGGGAGTGGGGAAATCGGAGCTGGCAAAGTCCCTCGCGGCGTATTATTTCGGGTCAGAGGAGGCGATGGTTCGGCTTGATATGTCTGAGTTCATGGAGAGGCACACTGTGTCGAAGCTGATTGGGTCGCCGCCCGGTTACGTGGGGTACAGTGAGGGCGGGCAGCTGACTGAGGCGGTGCGAAGGCGGCCGTACACTGTGGTGCTGTTTGACGAAATTGAGAAGGCTCATCCTGATGTGTTTAACATGATGCTGCAGGTATGGTTGGGGCTTGAGGGGTGGACGGAGAAGGATAGTGGGGGTAGAGAGAGATGGAGAGTGGTGGTGAACAGGTAGGTGGCGGCCGTACATGGTTGTGCTGTTCGATAAGATTGAGAAGGCTCATCCGGACGTGTTCAACATGATGCTCCAGGTACTCTCAAGGACGTGTTTCAAGGACTCATGCTCCGAGTATCTCCTCCCTTTCACTCCCAATCCAATCCCTGGAGGCCAGATTCTGGAGGACGTTTGAGAATTCTCAAAAGTCACTCCAATGTATCTCCTCCCTTTCACTTTCAATCCTTGGATGCCAGATTCTGGAGGACGGGCGTCTGACGGACAGCAAGGGCCGCACCGTCGATTTCAAGAACACCCTCCTCATCATGACGTCGAATGTTGGTTCATCCGTGATCGAGAAGGGTGGTGGAGGCATCGGCTTCCAGCTGGACTACGGCGAGAAGGATACGAGCTACAACAGAATCAAGTCGCTCGTGAATGAGGAGCTGAAGCAATACTTCAGGCCGGAGTTCCTGAACCGGCTGGACGAGATCATTGTGTTCCGACAGCTGACGAAGCAGGAGGTGAAGGAGATCAGCGACATCATGCTCAAAGAGGTGTTTGACCGCCTCAAGAAGAAGGACATTGATCTTCAGGTGAGCGATTGGGGGGTAGTGTGCAGAGCGCGTGTATGGGTGTAGGGAGAGGAGTTGTGTAAGTGGGTGTAATGGTATCATGCTTAAAGAGGTGTTTGACCGGCTCAAGTAGAGAGGACAAAGATCTTCAGGTGTGTGCAAGGGGAAGCGTATGCGGGCTGGCTGGGTGGATGGGTGGGTTGGTGGATGGATGTGGGGAAGGAATGGGACAGGGTCATGTGGTACATGGGAGGTGAAGGAGATCAGCGATATCATCATGCTCAAAGAGGTGTTTGACCGCCTCAAGAAGAAAGGACATTGATCTGCAGGTGCGTGCAAGGGAAGCAGGGGTGAGAATGCTCTTGTGCATGGGAAGTTGTTTGACCGCTGCGGCAAGCCATAATGCGGCTCTTATCTGACAGCATGGCAGAGTGAATGCTGTCAGGGGCAGTGCTATGTTGCGTGCCTTACCCACTTAATGCTCTACTTCCCCTCATTTCCCCCTCCTAGCTAATCCGTCTCTTTTTTCTCCCCCTTGACCCTGCTCCCAACCACCTCAGGTGACCGAGCGGTTCAGAGACAGGGTGGTGGACGAGGGCTACAGCCCTTCATACGGCGCCCGGCCGCTGCGCCGAGCTATCATGAGGCTTCTTGAAGACAGCATGGCAGAGCGAATGCTCTCAGGGGAGATCAAGGAGGGCGACAGTGCTATCATTGATGTGGATGCGGACGGGAATGTGACTGTTCTGAACGGCAACACTGGCACAGCCACGTCCACCGCCATTGAGGCTCCTGCTGGGATCTCCTAGAGGGGAAAGCAGGGTGGATGGGTGTGCGGCTGGCATTGCTTGAGGTTGGTTGGTGTATAGAGCGACTGCTGTGGTTTCCGCTGTGCACGCATCCAGTATATAGGGCGAGCATGGCTTGCGGGTGTCATTGTGGACGGGAGCCTCCCTCTAATGTCTGAGCGGTTAGATAAGTTGGCTGTTTCCTTTTTTCTGCTGTATGACGGTATGTCAATGTTAAAACGTTATACACTAATGCTGTATCTGCAGGGTAATTTTCATCACAATGTTGGTGATTTGATCAGATAACTAAATCTAGAACCATTGCGATGTAGGACATGCAATTGTTAGGCCCGACGGCCTAAGTCCGCTAAAGAATTAGCGGGGTCGACTCAGTCGAGGATGAAACGCGGCGGAAGACTTTGGCGAAAGAACTATTGGCGAAATAGGCGAAGAAGTTACTGAGTAATTAAAGAAGAGTTGAATGAGAATTGGTTGATAATGCCAAGTACAAGCAAGGTTTAAGTAGCATGCAAGAAACAAGGTTGGAAAGTAGATTGTGGGACTAGGAATTGGAAGGCAAGAGAACTAGAGTGCCACGTGGCACAAGGAAATCTAGGAAATCTTGGATGAGTTGGATGAAGATAGGGTTGAGATAAGGTTGGGGGTCTGTTTAGGGTAAACTACCCTTGAACAGGAAAGTACCCCGTAACACTACCCCCCTCCCAAGGAGGCGACGTCCGCGGCGCCTGCAGACTGAAGGTACGCTTGGAGGCAAGCATTGTCGGGAGACAGCGAGGACGAAGGAACCCAGCTGTCGTCTGCTGCGTCGTAACCACGCCAACGAACCAAGAAGTCGATGAAAGAGACACCCCCCTGGAGACGGCGACGGTGCCTGAGGATGCGCTGGATCTGATAGTCGGGCTCATCGGTGTCAACAGCTACCGGCAGTGGAGTGCGGTCACGGCCCGAGAAGGTGGCATTGGGATCGGTGTAAGGACGAAGAAGCGACACGTGGAATGACGGGTGCATGCGGAAATGAGCGGGAAGGCGAAGGCGGTATGCGACTGGACCAAGTGCGCGCTCAATGACAAATGGACCAATGAAACGTGGACGAAGCTTGCTGTCCTGTGGCAGTCGGAGGTTGCGGCTATCCAAGAGAACACGGTCGCCGACTGCGAACGACACCTCACGACGACTGCGGTTGGTGGTGCGTGCCATGCGTGCATTTGCGAGCTCAAGGTGCTTCCTCACATGATCATGGATGAATGTGAGATGCTGGTGGAAGTTGTCCGCACGAGGGACTGTGGGTGTGAGATCGACACGAGTGGGGACGTTGGGGTGCTGACCGTACAGTGCGAAAAACGGTGACATGCCTGTGGACGAGTGGTGCGTGTTGTAGGCGAACTCGGCCATGCTCAGCTTCTTGTCCCATGCGGCTGCGTCGTGCATCGTGATGTTGCGAAGAATCTGCTCCAAGGTCTGGTTCACACGCTCGGTCTGTCCGTCTGTCTCTGGATGGTACGCAGACGACATGGCTAAGCGAGTCCCGAACAGTGCGAAAAGCTGCTTCCAGAACTTAGAAGTGAAACGAGGGTCGCGGTCTGAGATGATGGAATCTGGAACCCCGTGCATTCGGACTACGTTATCTACGAACAGCGTCGCGGCTTCCTCTGCTGTGACCTTGCCGTGCGTGGGGATGAAGTGCGCTGCTCGAGAAAACTTATCCACTACCACGAAGATGGCGTCGTGACCCCTAACTGTGCGCGGTAAAGCCATGATGAAGTCCATCGTAGCTACCTGCCAAGGGCAGTCGGGTGGTGGAATTGGCTGCAAAAGTCCTGCCTTGCGCTGGCGAGAGGACTTCGTACGCTGACACGTGTCGCACGAGCGAATGTAATCCTCTACGTCTGCTGCAAGTCCTGGCCAGTAGTACGTGCGACTAAGCGTCTTAGCCGTCTTATCTGCTCCGAAGTGCCCTGCACTAACTACGTCGTGCGCCTCTGAGAGAAGGAGCTGTCGAAGAGGGCGGTAGGCAGGAACCCAAATCCGTGTGGTACCCTTCCGTATGTAGACACTACCCTGCACCTCTGCTCCTGCGGGCGGCTGCTGTGTGAAGTCGGGATCTACTGTGTAACCGTGCTCGAAGAGTGCTGTGAGAAGTGGATGGCCGGCAGTGACTGTGAGGCTGGCGAGCTGGCAACTAGGGCGAGAAAGCGGATCTGCTGGGTTGCGAACGCCTGGCTTGTACTCTATCCTGTAGTGGAAACTCCCCTCCATGAACTCCATCCATCTAGCCTGGCGACGACTCAGCTGCGGCTGTGACTTGAGGAAACGAAGCGAGCAATGGTCCGTGCGTATAACACTATCTGCCCCCACACCTTATACGCATGGATGATCGCGAGCGCCTCCTTGTCGTGTATGGGATAGTTCAACTCCGCTCCCCTAAGCTTACGCGACTCGTACGCGATCGGCTGCAACCCGCGTCCCTGGTCCTGAAGAAGCACTGCTCCTATTGCCCGATCTGATGCGTCGGTCACTACAACGTATGGGCGAGTGGGATCAGGGTACGACAGTGTCGGTGAAGACGTGAGCGACTGCTTTATCTGCTCGAACGCCTGCTGCTGCGCTGGACCCCAAAGAAACTCTACGCCCTTCCGAAGTAGGTCGGTGAGTGGACTAGCAATGGAAGCGTAACCCTGAACGAAACGACGGTAGTAATTCGCGAAACCGAGGAAGCTCTGTAACTCCTTGACTGAGGTCGGTGCTACCCAATCTGTCAGATTTATATGACTTAGCTGCTGCAGGCTATAGTGGGGTAGCACATATGGGGTACAGCTTTCTAGGGTTTGTACTTGTACCCAACTTTCCCTTAGTCTTTTCATTCCTCGTTCATTCTCACATGGTATAGAGCAGGTTCCCCTGTGGGAACTGTTCCTAGGGCCCACCAACTTTTTTTTTCCTGCCCGGAGCGCGCTCAGCCTCTGCCCGAGTCGCGCTCCCCTCTCACGGCCCCGTCGCGCCGCCCTTACGACCCCGTCGCGCCGCCTCAGCGGCCCCGTCGCGTCGCGCCTCCCTAGCGGCCCCGTCGCGTCGCCCTTGCGACCCCGTCGCGCCGCCCTCGCGGTCCCGTCGCGTCGCGCCGCCCTCGCGGCCCTTTCGCGCCGCCCTCGCGGCCCTTTCGCGCCGCCCTCGCGGCCTCCTCGAGCCGCCCTCGCGACCCCTCCACGCCGCCCTCGCGGCCCCGTCGCCTACCCTTGCGGCCCCGGCGCCACCCTTCCCGGCCCCGGCGCCGCCCTTCCCGGCCCCGGCGCCGCCCTTCCCGGCCCCGGCGCCGCCTCTGCTGGCCCCGTCGCCCCACCCTTGCGACCCCGCGGCCCCACCCTTAAGGCGCCGGTCGCCACCCTTCGTGGCCCCGCCGCCGCCCTCAGCGGCCTCGTCGCCGCCCCACCTGGCCCCGCCGCCGTCCCCACGCGGCCCCGCCGTCACCACCGAGCCGCCGGCGCCGCTGAGCCGCCGATCTACCGAGCCGCCGCTGCTGCCGAGCCGCCCGAGCCACCCGAGCCGCCCGAGCCGCCGAGCCACCTGAGCCGCCCGAGCCGCCGAGTCGCCGAGCCGCCGAGCTCCAGTTGCTGCCGAGCCGCCGTGCCGCCGAGCCGCCCGAGCCGCCCGAGCCGCCGAGCTGCAGTTGCTGCCGAGCCGCCCGAGCCGCCCTGTCCGGTAAGAGCGGCACCTCTACCACTGCGCTGCCCTTACCCTACTGCTCCAGCTGCTAGTCTACTGCTGTCATGGCTACCCCCAGTGTCCTCGCTTTTGACGCTGAGGGTCGGGCCATTGACTTTGACGTCTGGGTAGATGACCTGCAGCTTTTCCTACAGTGCGACAGGGCAGACGGTCTCTCTCTCTTTGACCTCACTTCTGGTGCCTCTTCTGCCCCTGCTGCTGATGCTGACGCCACTGTTCGCTCACAGTGGGCCACACGCGACGCTGCTGCCCGTCTTGCTGTGCGCCGCCACTTGCCTACCGCTGAGCGTGCACACTTTAGTCAGTACAAGAGTGCTAAGACCTTGTACGACGCTGTAGTTGCACGCTACTCTTCCCCTGCCACTGCTGCACTTAGCCGCCTCATCCTGCCGTACCTCTTCCCTGACCTCGCCGCTTTTCCCACAGTCGCTGACCTCATTACGCACCTGCGCACTAGTGACACTCGCTACCGCGCTGCCCTTCCTCCTGAGTTCTGCGCCAAGAACCCCCCACCTATGTACATCACCCTCTACTACGTAGTCACCCGGCTCCCTGACACCCTTCGCCCGGTCAGGGACCACTTTCTCTCTGTTTGCCCCACCACCCTCACCGTTGACCTCCTCGAGGAGCGCCTCCTAGCAGCAGAGAAGAGCATAGTCGCTGTAGGAGCCTCTCGTGGTGACCCTCGTGCCCCTGTCTTTGAGGGGTGCTCCCCCTCTCCTCTCTTGCCCTCTGTTGCCTCTGCTGCTGCGGCCGACCTCGTTGGTCTTGAGTCGGTCGGTGCGGCGTCTGCCCCTAGCGGGAGACGCCGCACTGGCAAGGGCAAGGGGGGCAGGGGCGCTGGAGGAGCTAGCGGGGGCGGTGGAGGCGGCGGTGGAGGCGGCGGAGGGGGTGGGGGTGGCGGTGGGGGTGGTGGCGGGGGTGGGGGCGTCAGTGGCGGCAGTGGAGGCGGAGGCGGCGGCGGCGGTGGCGGTGGGAGCGGAGGTGGCGGAGGTGGCGGCGGTGGAGGAGGCGGCGGCGGAGGAGGCGGAGCTGGTCGGGGTGGCGCTGCGCAGAGGGTCGGCTCCGGTGGTGGTCAGCGCCAGCAGCAGCAGCAGTAGCAGCAGCAGCGCACTCGTGAGATCCCCCCCGCTCAGCAGCTTCGTGAGTGGTACGCTGCACGCCAGCGGTGTGGGGGTACTGGTCCGTGCACCTACGTCCTACGCACCGGCGACCGCGCGGGTGAGCCGTGCGGGGGTGCGCACTCCACCCAGCGCTGCTTTGGCCGCCTGACGGACGCTTGGCGTCACCAGTTCCCTGAGGCCACTGAGATCCCTCGCTGGGGCGAGCTGTCTAGGGCGGGAGTAGCTATCTTTGACCTTGACTTTGATGCTATTCTTGCTGCCATGTATGCTGTGACTATTAGTGATGAGGGTGACTGTTACTGGTGTTTTCCGCCCGACCCGGGCATTGGGACTGCTGCTCTAGGTACTGGTGAGGCTGCTGCTCTAGGTGCTAGCGAGGCTGCTGCTCTAGGTGCCAGTGCGTCTGCTTCCTCAGGTGCTGGTGAGTCTGCTCTCTCAGGTACTGCGTCGGCTCCGGCCTCCCACACCTTCACTCTTGACTCGGGGGCTTCTCGCTCCTTCTTTCGAGACCGCACCACACTCACGCCGCTTGGTCGGCCCGTTGCAGTCTCTCTGGCAGACCCCTCTGGCGGTCCTGTCCTTGCTCACTTCTCCACTGTCCTCCCGTGTCCGGGGGCCCCCTCTGGCACCCTGTCTGGTCTTTACCTCCCCTCGTTCTCTACGAACTTGGTGAGTGGTGCTGACCTACAGGATGCGGGGGTTCACCAGTTCACTCCTGCGAGCCAGCGTGTGACCCACTGCACGGACGCTCGGACGGGCCGACACTTGGCCACGTTTACACGTCGGCCGGGGTCGAGCCTGTACACACTGACCACTGAGTCTCCTCCAGTCACTGCGTCTGGTCAGGCAGCTGCGTCGGGTCAGGTGTTTGCTGCAGCGTCCAGGTCTGGTCCTGAGTCTGCCCCCTGCTCGTGTCGCCTCCTGTCTCACGAGACTCTCCTCTGGCACCACCGCCTTGGTCACCCCTCCCTGCCTCGTCTCCGAGGCATGGCCTCCCGTGTCCTTGTCTCTGGTCTTCCCCGGTCCCTCCCTCCCCTTCCTCCGGGGCCTGCCCCTACCTGCGTCCCCTGTGTCGAGGGGCGGCAGCGTGCTGACCCTCACTCCTCCCAGTTTCCTCCGACAGAGGCCCCGCTGCAGACGCTTCACATGGACGTGTGGGGCCCGGCCCGCGTCCGTGGACAGGGTCACGAGCGCTACTTCCTGCTGGTGGTTGATGACTACTCGCGTTACACCACAGTCTTCCCCTTGCGCAGCAAGGGTGATGTCACTGAGGTGTTGATCGACTGGATCCGCGCAGCTCGTCTCCAACTCAGAGAGAGTTTCGGCTCGGACTTTCCTGTTCTGCGTCTGCACTCTGACAGAGGCGGAGAGTTCTCCTCTGGCCTTCTGCGAGCCTACTGTCGTGCACGAGGCATCCGCCAGACCTTCACGCTTCCGGACTCTCCACAGCAAAATGGGATTGCTGAGCGCCGCATTGGCATGGTCATGGACGTCGCCCGTACGTCCATGATGCATGCGGCTGCCCTCCATTTTCTGTGGCCGTTTGCGGTTCGGTACGCGGCGCATCAGATCAACCTTCAGCCCAGGGTCTCCATGCCGGAGACCTCCCCAGCTTTGCTGTGGACGGGGAAGGTTGGCGATGCGTCTGCGTTCCGTGTCTGGGGATCTCGGGCGTTTGTCCGCGACTTGTCTGCGGACAAGCTGTCCCCTCGTGCTGCTCCCTGCGTCTTCCTTGGCTTCCCCCCTGACGCGCCAGGGTGGCAGTTCTACCACCCCACCTCTCGCCGTGTTCTGTCCTCCCAGGACGTCACGTTTGACGAGTCGGTCCCCTACTACCGTCTCTTCCCCTACCGCACTCCGTACCTCCCCCCGCCACCGCTCTTCCTTGTGCCAGGTCCCCCCCCGGTAGACCCCCTTCCCCCTCAGGGTCCTGCCCCTTCAGGTGTGTCCCAGGTAGACGCAGTCGAGCTTGTGGAGGTCGCTGGTGACTCTGGTGCTGCTGGGGGTGCTGAGCCTGGGGGTGCTGACTCTGGGGGTGCTGAGCATGTGGGTGCTACGCCTGGGGGTGCTGAGCCTGGGGGTGCTGAGCCTGAGGGTGCTACGACTGGGGGTGCTGAGCCTGGGGGTGCTGAGTCTGGGGGTGCTGAGCCTGGGGGTGCTACGACTGGGGGTGCTGAACCTGGGGGTGCTACGCCTGGAGGTGCTGAGCCTGGGGGTGCGGAGCCTGAGGGAGCTGGGCCTGCTCGTGTGGCGTCTGGCGGTGCTGGGCCTGGAGGTTCTCTGGGTGCTCCGTCTCGACGGGAGCCACTCTCTCCACAGGAGGTGCGTGAGTGGTTTGCCCGGCGCTGGAGGCGTGCTGTTGGAGCTGGAGGTTCTTCGGCTGCTGAGGGTGCTGGTGCCACGGGTCCCGGAGGTGCTCGTACTGGGAGTACTGGAGCTGCTGGGCCTGCGGGTACTACTGGAGCTGGAGCCACTGCGTCTTCTCATGGTCCGACTGGAGCTGGAGCTGCTGAGGGTGTTGGCGCTGAGGGTACTGCTGGCGTTACTGGAGGCGATCCTGCTGGGGGTGCTACTGGTGCTGCTGGAGGTCCTGGAGCTACTGGAGCTGCTGGGGGTACTGGAGCTGGAGGTGCTGCTGGCGCTGGTGCTACCACTGGGGGTACTGGTGCTGTCCCTGCTGTGTCTGGAGTCGCTGCGCGGCCTCGGCCGTACTTCGTTCCGCTTCTTGAGCAGGTTCTTGGTCTCCCGCCTTCTACTGGTCCTCCTCCTCCCTTAGAGTGTCCACAGCCTGTCCCGTCACAGTTACAGTTACAGCCGGCCTCCCCACTGCCTGCTCCTTCTCCCTACACTGGTCCTACTGGAGGTCTTGCTGAGCGTCGTGAGCCTGCGTCTCGTCCTGCATCGCCTGTCCGTGCTGCTCGCGCTTGTGGTCGTGGTTCGCGTCAGCGTCCTCCCCCTGTGCCCGGCACGCACCGGATGTCTCTCCGTCCGTCCACTGCTCCTCTGCGTGCCCCTTTGCCTTCTCCTCCTGAGTCCTCTCTTCCTGCTCTTGCTGACCCGGAGTCGGACTCCCTTCGTGCTGCCAGTCCGACTGTCACGCGTCTCCTTGCTACTGTTGTCACTGACCCTTCCTTTGAGTCCACTGCTGCGTCTGCCCTAGTTGCTGAGCTCGTCGACTTTGCTGCTCGCTGTCGTCTAGACTACGCTGCTAGTCTTGTTGCTGCGTCTGAGTCTGTCTGTCCTCCGTCCGTCGGGGGTGAGTGTGCCCTTGGCACGGACGTCCTTGAGGACAGACAGGAGGAGTTCCAGTGTTTGGCTGCTGCTTCACCTCATCTCGTGTCCGTACTGCTTACCCCTGAGGGAGACCCGGATGCACTTGACATCCCGACTCCGCGCTCTTACGCGGAGGCGATAGAGGGTCCCTACTCCTCTCAGTGGCAGGCAGCTATGGACGCAGAGATGGCTTCCTGGAAGTCCACAGGCACCTACGTTGACGAGGTTCCCCCGCCTGGGGCGAACATCGTCAGTGGCATGTGGATTTTCAGGGTGAAGCGGCCGCCGGGTTCTCCGCCTGTCTTCAAGGCGCGTTACGTGGCTCGTGGCTTCAGTCAGCGGCAGGGAGTTGACTACTTTCAGACCTTCTCTCCCACCCCGAAGATGACCACTCTTCGGGTACTGCTGCACATAGCTGCTCACCGTGACTACGAGCTACACTCTCTTGACTTCGGCACTGCTTTCTTGCAGGGCAGCCTGCACGAGGAGATCTGGTTGCGCCGCCCACTTGGCTTCACTGGGACTTTTCCTCCTGGCACCCAGTGGAGCCTCCGGCGGCCAGTCTACGGTCTCCGCCAGGCACCGCGTGAGTGGCACGACACACTGAGGACTACACTTGCGGCTCTTGGGTTTGCTCCCTCTACTGCCGACCCGTCGCTGTTTCTGCGCACCGACACTTCTTTGCCGCCGTTCTACATCCTCGTGTACGTCGACGACTTGGTCTTTGCCACAGCTGACACTGCTGGACTCGCCCACGTGAAGTCCGAGCTGCAGAAGAGACACACGTGCACAGACCTGGGTGAACTGCGCAGCTACCTTGGCTTGCAGATCACCCGGGACAGAGCACGCCGCACCATTACCCTGACTCAGTCACACATGGTGCAGCAGGTCCTTCAGCGCTTCGGCTTCACGTACTCCTCGCCTCAGGCCACTCCTCTGCCTACTCGCCACTCGCTCTCAGCTCTGCCTTCGGATGAGTCCGTAGAGTCGAGTGGCCCGTACCCAGAGCTTGTTGGCTGCCTCATGTACCTGATGACCTGCACTCGACCTGACCTTGCATACCCTCTTAGCATTCTCGCACGCTATGTTGCTCCTGGGAGACACAGACCGGAGCACATGGCTGCAGCGAAGAGGGTGTTGCGCTACTTGTGCAGTACGTCGGGCATGGGGCTTGTGCTTGGAGGGCAGAGTCCAGTGGTCCTCACTGGGCACGCAGACGCTTCTTGGGCTGACGACCAGGCTACGCAGCGGTCGTCATAGGGTTACACCTTCAGCCTTGGTTCCGGCTCTGTCTCGTGGCGGGCTACCCGCTCGTCTTCTGTTCTCGGCTCCAGTTGTGAGGCTGAGATCTACGCAGGGGCCATGGCTGCACAGGAGCTTCGCTGGCTCACCTACCTGCTGACTGACCTCGGAGAGCCGCCTCGTTCTCCTCCAGTGCTGTACGTAGACAACAAGGCCATGCTGGCCTTGTGTCGGGAGCAGAGACTGGAGCACAGAACGAAGCACATTGCTCTTCGCTACTTCCTTGCTCGTGAGCTACAGCAGCGTGGTCAGCTACGCCTTGCGTACGTGGCCTCTCAGGCCAACACTGCTGATATCTTCACCAAGGCACTTGCGCCTTGTGATCATCAGCGCTTCTGTACTCAGCTGGGTCTTGTGCCTACCTTGCCTCACTTGCTCACCCCTTGACCTTGTTTGTACTGTTACATATATATATACACCTGCTCTTGCTTGTTTAGCCTTATATATATATGTAATCCTGCATGTGAACTGGCCTTGTGGCCTTGAACTTGTGCTCGGAATGTGTGGTGACGTTGTGATCCACCCTGAGCTTGCTTTGCTTTGCTTGACTGGTCTTGTGACCCCTTGTCCTCCCCCACTTTGCCTATGGCGGTGTGTCAGATTTATATGACTTAGCTGCTGTAGGCTATAGTGGGGTAGCACATATGGGGTACAGCTTTCTAGGGTTTGTACTTGTACCCAACTTTCCCTTAGTCTTTTCATTCCTCGTTCATTTTCACACAATCCTGTACTGCTGCGATCTTCTTCGGGTCGGTCCTAATGCCATTAGCGGAAACGACGTGACCTAGAAACTCGACCTCCGGAAGGAAGAACTCGCACTTTGACTGCTTCACGTACAACTGCTCCCTCCTCAAGACCTCAAAGACCTTCTGCAAGTGCTGCACGTGCTCCTCTTTCGTCTTGGAAAAGACTAAGATGTCGTCTAGGTAGACTACAACGAACGAACCTAAGAACTCCGAGAGGACTGTGTTCATGAGTGTCTGAAACGTCGCTGGGGCGTTGGTCAAACCGAACGGTAGAACCCTAAACTCGTACAACCCCTGCTTCGTACGAAACGCCGTCTTGTGCTGGTCCTCTGGAACTACTCGAATCTGATGATACCCTGAGCGAAGATCGATCTTGGAGAAGATTCTAGCACCCTGCACTGCATCGAGAAGATCCTCTACCCTCGGCACCGGGAATCTATTCTTGACGGTGGCGGCGTTCAGTGCTCGGTAATCTATGCACATCCGTAACCCTCCGTCTTTCTTAGGCGCGAACAGGATCGGTGCTGCCCAAGGCGATCTAGATGGCTGTATGAACCCCTGCGCGAGAAAGTGCCTAACCTGCTGCGTCATCTCCTCTGTCTCTGCTGGACTCAACCTCCACTGCGGCTTCGCTACTGGCTTGCTCCCCGGCTCCAACTCTATTCGATGGTCTACTGCTCGGCTGGGAGGTAACCCTGGGGGCAACTCGTCAGGGAAGACGTCTGCAAACTCTGCTAACAGTGCACTCACCTCAGCAGGAAGAGTCGCCTTCTCACTAACTGCTGCACTCCCTCCTTTCCCTTCCTCAGCTTCCACCTCCTCAAGGAAAACCGCGAAGATCCGTGCCGCACGCTTCACCAACTGTCGCACACGAACAGCATTAATGATAGCTGTGGATGATGTGGCCCCATCGCTCCACTATGGCAGCTCCCGAAACTCCCCGTCTACCTTGACGCTGCAGCTTCCCTGAGCCCAATCGAACTGAGTACTAACCGTCCGTAGCCAATCCCTACCGAAGATGAAGTCGTAACCGTCCAGTGTGGCAGAGTCGAAGTCACGCCTAACCGTGATTGGTCTTAGCACTACGCGCAACTTGCGAATGACTGGTCCTATGTGAACTGGCGTCCCATCTACCATGCGCGCGTCCTTGAAGTTGACTGCCGGATCTGCTTCAAGATGGAGACGACTGACTAATGAAGAAGAGACGAACGAGTGGCTAGCTCCGCTATCTACGAGAATCTTAACAGGAACTCCACGAAGCTTCCCTAGAAGCACGACTGGTCGGTCAACAGTGTCTACCTCGTTCTCCGTAGATGACTGCTGCAAAGCCGTCTCCTCTACGTTGGTAGACGTGGCGGGTACGGGAACCTCCACACCAGCTAGCGACCCGCTATCTACTGGCGGTTTCCGTTTCCCTGCTGCCGCTCTTTAAGCTGTGGGCAGTCCCGCTTCATGTGTCCCGGCTTTTTGCAGTAGTGACAGTTCCCCCTAAATCCCGTTTTCTGTTAGCCATCACTGTTAACTGCACCAATCTCCATGGGCGATGGTCCGTCCCTCGATCGAGCATCGTTGATCGGTCTGTTGTATCCCCTATCGCGATCGTCACGACCCCGTTGGCTTCGTACTGCGTCGACGCGTTCTGCTGCTACGACAACTGACTCGAAGGTGGACAACCCATGAATCGCTATAACTTCTGCTATGTCCGGCTTCAACCCCTCGAGGTAGCGATCGCGCATCTCTGCTTCCGTGATGTCATCTATTTCGTTGCAGATGCTCAAGAACCGTCGTGTGTACTCCTGGACGTTTCCTATCTGTCGGAAATGACGCAGACGCTTCCTAGCAGCTTCGGAGGCGTTCACCAAGTCGAACCTACTTTTTAGCGCCGCTTCAAATCCTTCCTATGTGGTCGGAACCGTGGTAACACCCAAAGCTAAACTCCCTAAGCTCGAAGTTGCAGCTGCATGCCCCACGCCCTGTTGATGCCCGTCTGTCTGAGCCCTTCTTACAGCAGTTTGCGTGAGTTGTCGCCACCACTCCAAGGCCGGGCCCCTCAGCAGCGTAACGGCGTACTCGATCCGCTGCTGCGCGTCCGCCTCTTGCACCCCGCTCGCGGCGAAGTAACTGTTGAGCACGAAGAGCCACGTCCGCACGTTCGCGTCGTGTTGACTTGGGTCGAACGACTCGGGTTTCTGCGGCTTGAGCGCGCTTCGACGTTCCGGCAGTGCTTCCGCGCCAGACGACGTGTTGGGTGCAGGAGATGGTGCGGCATGACCATGAGAAATTGACGCGAATTCACGAAGCTGTTGCATTTCAGCCCGTACCTGACAATTTTCCAACGTCAATTGTTCAAGTTGGCGCATGAGTTGAGCAAGCGTGTTGCCCATGTCGTTGGGGAGAGCGTTCATGGTCTCGTCCATGTTGGCTCGACGACTCCAAGTCTGCAAGTCAACACCGCGGGACGATGACGTCGTAGTCTCGTCGTCGACGGTCGCTCGTTGGAAGTCGCTCCCCGCGAAGGCTCGTGATACCAAGTGTTAGGCCCGACGGCCTAAGTCCGCTAAAGAATTAGCGGGGTCGACTCAGTCGAGGATGAAACGCGGCGGAAGACTTTGGCGAAAGAACTATTAGCGAAATAGGCGAAGAAGTTACTGAGTAATTGAAGAAGAGTTGAATGAGAATTGGTTGATAATGCCAAGTACAAGCAAGGTTTAAGTAGCATGCAAGAAACAAGGTTGGAAAGTAGATTGTGGGATGTAAGGAATTTTATCGGCATTCCTTACGGAGCCCGACTACATCGCGTACGGCAACAACCGTTGTTCGCCCGTTACTGCTAACGGGACTTCGCCAACCTCGCGCGCACTGTTTTGCCAAACCTCGCACTGCTGGCCCGGCCGTGTCGGCCTACGCTTCGGGACTAGCCCGAACCTCGCTGCCAGCATAGCACTAGCTAGCTCGCACGCACCGCGTTACCGTTTGCATGTTTCGCATATAAATGTTCGCTCATGCCTTCGCTCACATCTTTGTACTCGTTTGACACCTTAGTGCAATTCTCGCTACCTCGATTCATTGCACCCGTAACACTTGGTATCAGAGCCCCTTTCTTTCGGACCGCGCATCTCCGCACCCCAGGAAATCCACTTTTGATTTTTCACTCGAAGGGACTCACGTACCTTAGCACCTAGGAGCCGCTGTCCTCGCGTTCTCTCGTAAACGCGTGCAGCCACGACTGCGCCTAGACTAAGACGAGCCGACGCCCTTCGAAATGGCTGAACACATCGACGTCACGACTCTCACGCAGGAGCACTTGAACGATCTGCTGCGACAAATCCGCGAGAGCGCCGAGGAAATTGCGACGCTGACGGCAGAACGCTCGTCCCTGCAAAACGGCCTCGTACGAGCACAATCCCAAGCACCTGGCACTCCGATTCAGCCCGCACCACAAGCATCACAGCACGGGAGTGTGGGGCAACCCGCGAGCGCCGCAAGTGATGGCGTCGTCCGCCATGACGGAGACGAGGACCACGGCACGACACACCCCGACGCGACGAATGCGGCCAGAACGCAGCCCCAAGTCACGATTTCGGTGCCGGCAGGCGGATCAACTCTTCCGTCGCCGATGCCGTTAAAGCCGCAGCGTCCGCCATGCTTTGACCCAAGTCAGCGGGGTGGTCCTACCGTTCAGGCGTGGCTCTTCACGTTGAATGTCTTCTTCGACGCGAACTACGTCTCGGAGGATACGGCGAAGATTCGCTACGCCGTGTCGTTGGTGCGAGGACCCGCCATGGACTGGTGGCGCGTCATCGTCACGAAGCCGGTGGACTACGCGACTCTACCGACACGGGAAGGACAAACCGGACCCTGGGCGCCGTCGTATTTCGTGGAGGTGCCCCAGTATCGCACGTGGGACGCGTGGTGCGCAGGTCTGCGCGCTCGTTTCGAGCCAATCGCGGCTTCGATCGCGGCGCGACAGAGGCTCCGCACTTGGCGCCAACTCGGTTCCGTCCAGGATTATACGAGCGGGTTTCTGGCGCTATGCGAGCAGGTGGGATACATGCACGAGAGCGAGCGCATCGACCGCTACATCGGCGACCTGAAGCAGGAGATCGCTCAGGAAATCCAGCTTCGCGGCGTCACCGATTTTCAAGAGATTCTCGCTATGGCGGAGAAACTTGACTTCTTCCGCC